TAATAGTTAATTAGGGTTTTCAATTTTCGCATTTTACTTTTCAGTCATTATTTATGTATCTGCACCAAAGCCTTGTAATAGTTGTAGGAATTTTATTTCTCGCTTTATATTTCTTATATGCTTGTACATGGACTGTTAGTAAATTAGGCAGCATGACAAGAATAAATCAATTAATCATTAGGTCATTAACTTCAAGATAAATATCTGAAAAAAGCACACTATCTCACACTTGCACCCCCTAGGGTATACCTCACTTGTTGCCTTCAGAAATGGTCATGTACCTCGAACGTAGGGATATCTTAGCAATGACCCTCAACTTAAAAAGTTATCATAAACATCATGGTCCCTTAATGTCCCTCGAGTTGCCTACGAGAAATGATCTTGTCCCTCGATGTTTCCTATATGATGACAGTCCCTTTGAAACGCTAAGGTATCCTTACATGTTACCTTCAATTACCATAAGCATCCCATTCGATAGTCCCTCAACATCCGACGATAGGTATACCTACTCACTAATAGCAGGATAGCACTATCTAAAGGAAAAGAGGAAAAGAACATCCTTTTTCGAGTAGGTAGACAGTTCTTAAGTACTTGCTCAAACCTAATTTTTTACACTTACACACTTTCAAACTTCTTTTCAAAAACGCTTTATCACACTCTTGAGGACTGATACAAGAGTTACCATAAAGAAAACAAAATATTTCAAAACACACAAACACAAAAACAATTTTAAAAAATGAGCAAGTACCTAAGAGCCCGTGGAAAACCACGAATGGAAAGGGTGCTAAGACCTTCCCTTTCCATAATCTACCCCCCTTACTCAGAAAATCTTGAAAAAGGTCTTTTTCTGTTCTTTTCACCCTTTCCTTTGTTGGATAAAAGAAAATTCGGTGAAGACTCTTGCTTACTGCATCATTTGCAAACAAAAAACACAAACCAGTATTAATAGTCGATTCTGCCACCGTATCACACGCACCTCTAGGGTATTCCCACTTTGGTTGCCTTCAGAAAATAGTCACAACTCTCGAAACGTGAGATATTTTAGTGGCTACCCTCCGGTTTAAAAGATCACAAATCCCTCGATGACCCTCTAAACATTTCCTTGGTAAAAATGATCTTAAACCCTAGGGTAGTTACTAAGGTTTCTTGCCCAGTTTCCTTTGTGACTATAAACGTCCCTTCGAATGTCCCTCATACATCCAACGATAGGGCTACCTACTCACTAATAGTAGGACAACACTATCTAAAGGAAAAGAGGAAAAGAACGACCCTTTCGAGTAAAGTAGATAGTTGTTAGATGCTTGCTCAAACAAATTTTTTACACTTACACAAAACAACTTTCAAAAACCTTTTCAAAACATTTTATGAACACTCTCGAGGACTGATACAAGAGTTATCACAAAGAAGATCACCTTATTGTTGGCATTTCAAATACTTTTCAAAGCACACAAAGCATATGGTATTTTCAAAAGGAGCTAAGCATCTAAGAGCCCGTAGAAAACTACAGATGGAAAGGGTTCTAACACCTTCCCTTTCCATAATCTACCCCCCTTACTCAGAAAACTCTCGAAAGGTCTTTTTCTGTTCTTTTCACCCTTTCCCTTGTTGGATAAAAGAAAATTCAGTGGCGACTCTTGTTTGCCGCAACATTTGCAAATACAAACATAAAACCAGTATAGCAGTCAGTTTTGCCACCGTATTACACTAATTTTGAATTCTCTAAATCAGATGGGATAACTTGCCAGCCATTTCTTTCCCCCTTACTTTGATAATATCTTCTAAACTGTTTGTTGATACTTTATATCTTGAAGTTATTTGTGCCAAGACATTTTCTTCTTGATTTTTGACCCTGGGACTATATTTAATACCCATGTACTCAAAACTTTTGAGCAATCTTTTGGAAATAACAAAGTATATGATCAAATTTTCTCTTATACATTTGTATTTCTTTGTTATTTGGTTGATCACTCATTCATAGTCTCCTTTGATTTTGACTCATGTTACCCCCAATTCCAACAAGGCTTCGAGTCCAGTAATTAACGCTTTGTATTCTGCCTCATTCTTAGAACAAAGAGGGACTTCGATCTTATAATTGAGTCTTGTTGGAATTCCTTCAGGAGAAATGGTCAAGATTCCAACTCCACGACCTTCTTTATGAGTAGAACCATCAAAAAATAGTTTTCAAGGTTTCAACTCAACAAAGTGTTGATTGTTTTCGATCACTGCATGGTCCACAATAAAGTCTGAGACCACTTGACCCTTCATTTCTCTTAAAGGAAATAAGGCTAAGGAATACACAGTGAGGGCTAAAGCCCATTTTCCAATTCGACTGTGCAGGATTGGCTTTGATAGCATGTGTTTAATAACATCAAAATATGATGAAACATAAACATCAACATGTTTTATATAATATTTCAATTTGGTACAAGAGAAATACAAACAAAGGCACAATTTTTCTATTGCATTGTATCTAATCTCAGCGTCTTTTAGCACCCTACTTAAGTAATAAATGGCTCTTTCGACACCATTATCATTTTCTTGGGCTAATATGCTTCCTATAGAAAATTTTGAGGCTGGTATATATAGCCTCATATGATTATTTCCACAAGGAGGTGTGAGGATAAGTGGATGCATCAAATATTACTTGATATTATCAAATGCCCATTGATGTTCTTCTTCCCATTCGAAGTTACCCTGTTTGAGGCGTAAGAGAGGGGAAAAGGCTTGAGTTCGACCACTCAGATTAGAAATAAATCTTCTTAAGAAGTTTATCTTTCCTAGAAGTGATTGCAACCACTTTTTCAATGACGGTGCTTTCGCTTCCATAATTGCCTTTGTTTTATTCTGGTTTATCTCTATCCCTTTCTTGTGGACTACAAATTCCAGGAAATCACCTGCATGCACAAAGAAAGCAAATTTGAGGGGATTCATCTTTAAATCATGTTTCATCATTCTTTTGAATGACTGTCAAAGATGATCCAAATGGAATTCATGGGACATAGATTTGATGACAATGTCATCAATATAAACATGCATAAAGGTCTCTATGAAATCATGAATGATGGAATTCACTTCCCTTTGGTAAGTTTCCCCAACGTTTTTTAGTCCAAAATGCATCACTATCCACTCATAGGTTCCTAATTCCCCCAGGGCATCAAAAGTCTATTTTGGGCACATCTTCATTGGCAATGAAAATTTGGTTATATCCTAAATATCTGTCAAGCATACTCAAGTATTCAAAGCCTGCTGCAAAATCAATTAACATTTCTTCTATAGGCATTGGATATTCATCCTTGGGTGTTGCAGCATTTAAATCACAAAAGTCTATGCAAACCCTAAGGTACCCATTCTTTTTAATAACAAGAACAATATTTGCAATCCACTCTACATACCTGGTTACTCTGATGAAGTTGCATCGAAGGAGTCTTTCGACTTCCTCCTTTATTTTTGATAGTGTCTCTAGCTCGAACCTTCTGGCAGACTGCTTGATGGGCTTCTTGCCGTCCTTTATACACAGCTTCAATTCGACCAAATCTCTGCTTAAACCAGGAATTTCATCATAGTCCCAAGAAAAAAAATCTTTATACTCTTTCAACATCTGGATCACTTTGTTCTTTACCTCCAGATCTAGCTTTGCGCTGATATAAGTTGGTATTTTTTCAGTTCCTTCTCCTAGATTAACTTCTTCGAGGGGATCTTGTGCCAACATTTTTGCGCTTGGGGCCACTGGATCCCTTTCGAACCCCAACGGTCCATCATCATAGATAGCGTCGAGCCTTTGGTTATTTTTTCCTATAGGTACCTGTTCATCAGGGGGATTTGGAATAAAATGCACTTCAGGCCCTTCTGTATGTGTTGATTCTTCTTTGGCTTAGATAGCCATGTATTTTTCTTCGGCTTCCAAACCATTTTTATTCTATTTTCGGCCACGTAGGCCGAAATCTTTTCGAGGAAGGATGGCTCAGACATCATTACTGTCTTCATCGAACCATCTTGTTGGTCGTACTATAGGAAACCCTTTGATGTCATCCTTTTCGCCCATTATTTCCTTGTCCAATTGAAACCCATAGGTTGGGTGTAAGGTTAGGTAGTACAAAGCATTTTTGTTGGGGAAATATGCTCCTTCCGCTGGACTGCATAGTCCTATGTTTGCCATATTTCTGTCGAAATTTCTTCTATCTACCATGTTGACTTCAGCCAAGAAATAACTTTGGTCAGCCTCTATGTTTTCTATGATACCATCTTCTCTCCAAATAGACACACACTGGTTCATTGATGAAGGGACTTCACCAATGTCGTGGATCCATTCACGATCCAAGAGTAGATTGTAGTTGGCTTTGGTAGCTATAACCATGATGCCTTCAACATTACACACAATAGTAATTTTCATAATAAACTCCTTGGCCAGCTTTTCATAATAAGGACCAATATCAGTAACAATATTTATTAGCCAATAGCTTCCATGATTTCTTTGCAATCTAGATATTTTTTTACCTAGATCTCTCTCATCTACAATTCTTATTTGAGAAACATATTTCCACTCCTGAACACTTGTTTTAGAATGGAATGACACATTATCCAAGGGGTAGTAGGAACATTCACTAGAATTATCTTTCCACCAACCTTTCTCCTTATAGTTGACATAATGTCCATGACACCCTCGTCATCATTTATCTCAGAGTTACTTGTAAGAACAAGCTTTCTATTAACTTCATAATTAACAAGGGAAACTTGCTCATCCTTCCTATGAGTCAAAAAGTTAGTCACCAACATGTCATACATGTTTTCTGAAACATCCTGGTTGACATCTTTGAGCATTTGGTTACTCCACAATAGTTAAGTGAAACTACTTCCAACATATATACTATGGGAATCAAAGGTGTATTCCTTCATTTGCTTCACTTAAAAAATCAAGAAAGTAAGTAACATCTCCTACCATGCTCAACTCAAATTCAGACTTCATTTGTTGAACAAAATGCTCTAACATCTTAACTGGCATCCTACACAACAGTGTCTTCAACATGAATGTGAACTATCATCATATTCTCATTTTCTTCCAGATTGACATCCTCCATATTATTGATATAAGTAGTAGCATCCATAATGACTTCCTCATAATCATCCTTCTTAATGACACCATCCTTCTCATTGACATAATTGCTAACATCCTAATTGATTTCAACATTCAAGTACCTATTAAGGAAGACACTTTTCACATCCATTTGATAAAGTTTTAACATCAAAATACATGACAACTTGAAGTTTCCAGTTTTATCATTAACAACTTGCTCCACATCAAGTCCAATGAGATCAAAATATTAATCTTCATGGGGAGTCATTTGATTTTGAACATTATCTATAGATTGTGTTCCCTTGGTAAGAAATATATATATATATATATATATATATATATATATATATATATATATATATATATATATATATATATATATATATATATATATAGATATATATATATATATATATATATATATATATATATATATATATATATATATATATATATATATATATATATATATATATATATATATATATATATATATACCTTTCTATTAACAACACACCCCAAAAAAATATGTTTTCATCATTACTTGCCACATCTTCACACAATGTCTCAAATTTTCCCCCATGTCTTCTACTGCTTGATCCTTCTTTCCTTTTAATGAAAATTTTAGTTTCTCATCATGGTTATTAACACCACCACCACAGGCTACAACAATATTAACCTCAACATGTTCATGGAAATTATCATCATCACTCACTGGATTATTCTCAAGGGTCACATCATCATTCTCCTTATGAATTTGAGACTCTGTTAACATGTCAAACAAGAAGTCTGGTACATATTTATCAACATTTTAATTTCCTATATTGGTTTCCTGGGTCTCACCAGCAACATACTTTTGAATGAGATAATGGTTTCTTATAGGCCCATACATTAGTAAGACATTAAGCACATTTCACCAGTAGCTAGATCAGACTTGTCAAAGTGTGGAATATTATGGAGAGCAACGTTTAGTACATATTTCTTGACATAAAACCTATAGTTGGACTTTAATACACTAATAGGAACACTAATTCTAGCTTTACCAAACACAACATCATATTTTTGAATAGTGAAAATTCCATAAATATGAGAAGGAACCTAAATAGGAAGAATTATGCCATAATCACAAAACTTCTTTAGATTCTTCTTTTTAACCACATTTGGTTGTTCAAAGTTGGGAGGACTTCCATCCTGACCATCAACCATCCCTTCAATGACAACTTCTTACATGGGTCTTATAAAGTCCTTAAGTGATAATTCAAAAGCATGAGTAAGATGTTGAAAAATCTTGTATGACATCTTGGTTTGCTTACTAACTTGGTAGTCCTTATAAATTTTACCTTCTTCAATCTTAAGACCAATACACACATGAAATATTTCTCTACAATAACCCATAAGTTTTATGTTCCCTATCTTAGTTTCTGTAACTACAATGTCATAAATAATGTATGAAACATGATCTTCAACACTCTGCTCTACAGTGGTAGCAACTATATTCATCTTTGAAAATCTATTTCTCTTATTTATATTACAAAATGTAACATTATTTCTTTCTCCTATTAAGTTTCTATTGCAGCTAGTGTCAAAATGACAATCTTCACAAGAAAGTACCTTGTAGGAGGTACAATGAACAATTAGATTAGGCTTTGTATGCCAAACTTGTTGGCGATGCCTTTCATACTTCTCATTCCACTGTGGATACATATGTTTGTGATGTAGTTGTCTACCATATAATTTATAACCATATAGTGGAATGGATTAGACAAAATCATGTGTGATAAGATGTTTGGACATGTTACCTGACATTGTGCATTATGTTTTCTGGTAAACATGTTTGACAGGATTTTGAGACATGTTTCCAGAAATTATGCAATCTATTTTTTGAATTGGAGTAATACACATTTTATTTGAATTTGATGGCTCACCAATATGTATAACCTCTTTCTTGTCTTTGAAGGTCACAAAATTGTTCTCTTGATTAGATTCACCTTTTCATTATTAGTGACATTGGATACTCTTTGTTTCCTTTGAAAACTTCAGCATTCAGCTTGAATGTGTCCAAAATATTTGGATTTAAGAAATTGGATTACACCTTTTGCAATTGTATTGCTGATTGTCTTGAAAATTTGAATAAATATTATTCCCAAATCTCATATCTCATTTTTTCATGACTTTAATAAATATCTTAGCAAGCCTGAGATTTTCTTCAGAATCACATTCTACTTGGTCTTCACATTTTTCATAACTGCTTTTGTCTCTATTATTTGGAGGATTTTTAATACAATAAATAATCCTCAATTGATCATCCTTTATTTTTGTGGCATTGGAGTGTCTTTGGTCATTATACTAGTGTATATAGATAACATTGTATTAACTGGTACTGACCCAACTCGTTTACAACAAGTTGAGACGTTATTGGAGTAACACTTCAAGCTAAAAATTAAGAGGGTGGGGGATCTTCTCTATTTCCTAAGCTTAGAGATTGCTAAATCACATAAATGTATTGTGATACGGTGGCAGAACCAACTGTTATACTGATTTTGCATTTGTATTCTCAAATGTTGTGGTAAGTAAGAGTCGCCACAAAGTTTTCTTTTATCCGACAAAGGAAAGGGTGAAAAGAATAGAAAAAGACATTTTAAGATTATTTTTGAGTAAGGGGGTAGATTATGGAAAGGGAAGGTTTAGCACCCTTTCCATCTGTAGTTATCTACGGCTCTTAGATGCTTAGCTCATTTTTGAAATACCTTGTGTTTTTTGTGTGTTTTTGAAAAGTATTTTGAAATGCCTTAGTGCGGAGATTTTCTTTATGATAACTCTTGTATCAGACCTCAAGAGTGTTGATAAAGCGTTTTGCAAAAGGTTTTTGAAAATTGTTTTGTGTAAGTGTAAAAAGTTTGTTTTTGAGTATAACATCTAGGAACTATATACTTTACTTGAAAGGTTCGTTCTTTTCCTCCTTTCCTTTAGACAGTGCTATCCTACTATTAGTGAGTAGGTAGCCCTAGTCTTTTGGATGTTTGAGGGACATTCGAAAGGAAGTTTTATAGTCATAAAGGCAACTGGGCAAGAAACCTTAGTAACTACCCTAGGGTTTTAAGATCATTGTTTACCGAGGCAACGTCGAGAGGTGCATCGAGGGACTTATGATTTTTTTAAACCAGAGGGTAGCCACTAAAATCTCTCACGTTTCAAGAGTTGTGACTATTTTACCGAAGGTAACCAAAGTGGGGTATCCTAGAGATGCGCATGTGCAATAGTATTGTGCTTCAGTTATTTATATTGATGTTTAGGTTTGCTAACGTTTTGTTTTTAATTTGGTCATGCAATCCTATTAATCATACATCTAAAAAGTTAATAATTTGCAAGAAATTAAAAATGCGGAATTTAAAGCTACGCTATTACATGGCTTCGGGGAGGGGAATTATTACATGTCTAAAAATGAGGGGGATAAAACAGTAAATATCCTAGTTTAAATCTATTACATCCAGTAGCCAGATACAATAATATGAAAAAATAAAATTAAGTAAAAATTGCATGCGAATATGAAATATGTCTAAATCCTAGAAAGAAAAGTCTTTTATTGGTTTTTTTATTTAATAAAGGAAAAAAACTAAATCTATTTAATTTTAATTTATAAAAAAGTTTAAGTAATTAATAATTAATTAATGAAATTAATTTTAATAAAAATACTAAAACCTATTTATTTTGATTTTTTGATTTAATGTTGATTTATAAAGTAAAGTCAATAAAAGACATGAATAAAACAAAAATAAAAATAAAAGAGAAAATGGTCCTTCGATCCAGGGAAGAAAATTGTCCTTCGATCCAAGGAAGGAGGTTATCCTTCGATCCAGTGAGGGACGTGATATTTCAATCTAGGGAGGGATGTGTGTTTTTCGATCCAGGGAAACAATCTGCCTTTCGATCTGAATCTACAAGACAAATGTTAGAAAAAATTAAGACGCAGGACTTGGGTATTGAACCCGGGTCTTTCCCCCTAATTCGAATCTTCCCCAAATTCAAACCCCTTGAGTTCGAATCTAGGTGGTTTTGGATGGAAACTGCCTATATCATGAGCTTCGAAAGTCAAATTCAGATCATGCCTTTCAATGGCATGATCTTATTCTGGCATGTATCACGTTAGATCTACACTGTTGGTGTCCTTAAACATGAACCAAACAGTTAGAGTTAACAAAATGGCATGTATATTCAGCTTTAAAGTTTAGAGCCTTTACCTACTGGTGATGTTTGGAGGCAGTGATTCATGGTGTTTCACGCCTTATGAATGATCTGGACAACTTCCTGGGAACCTCAGCGATGGAGTGGTGAGGTTTGTTTGGCACGAGGAAGCTTGCACATTCAGTTCTAATATTGACCACTTTGTAATGTGTGTGTATAGGCAAAGCTTTTATATGGTTTTTTCTCTTCTTTTTTTTTGTTTGGCAATGTGTCCTTAGCCATGTATTTATAGGGGTGTGATGGGAATGGAAATGGAAAGGGACAACCATTAGCCAGGCTTTGAAGGAAAAATCAGACAAATTAAAGGATTTCCATCTTTGATGAATTCCTACCCTTTTGAGTTTTAGGATGAACCTGGACATGTTTTACTCCATGACTCCTTCGAATGCCTCCAAGCCTTGTTCTTCGATTGGCTATGAATTTCTCCTTTTGATGGATCTGAAAATACCCAACTAGCCCAATCGAACACTTCATTCTGGCCAGTCGAAGCTTCTTTTGTCATTTCCTTTGAATGCAATTGTGTAGGAGGCTTGGGCTTGGCAGCATGTAGGACTTTTCCCGGCAAGCATCTTGAACCAAACTCATCAAAAGGAAAAAAAACTTGTTTCTAACAATTGTGTGTCTTTCGAATGGACCAATTGTATGTCCTTCGAAGGCACCATTTTTCTGTCCTTCGAATGGACCAAATATATGTCCTTCGAAGGCACCACTTGTATGTTTCGTAGAATGAACCTTTGGAATGTTTCTTCGAATGGACCATACTATGTGTCAAAGTTTAGAAAAATGTGTGTTGAAGGGTTTAGAGGTGGATTCAAAGCTAGCATGAGGGAAGCCACTCTTTTGTGAGTCGAAGCAGGCATGTAGGAAGTTTTTGTCTTGTGAATCTAAGGCAGGCATGAAGAGGAAGCACTTTTCTTGTGGATCAAAGCAGACACGTAAGAAGCCAATGCCTAATCAAAGCTTGCATGCAGGAGGCCACTGCTTTGTGAATTAAAACAAACATGCAGGAGGAAACTTCTTGTGAATCGAAGCAAACCGTTTAAAACGGGGGCCATTTGCCCAGTCGAAGCTAGCACAAAGGAAGCCAATGCCTTGTGGATTCTTAGCATGAGGGAGGGTATTACTTTGTGGATCAAAGCAGGCACAAAGGAGGCCATTGCTCAGTGAATCGAACCAGGAACGAAGGAAATATTTGCCTAGTGAATCGAAAACACGCCTGAAGCAGCCAACGCTCAGTCGAAGCTTTGTGAATTAAACTTGATCAAAGGAGGTCGAGTGCTCAATAGAATCTTGTGAACCATGCTTGCATCGAAGGAAGCCAAATGCTCAATCGAAACTTGTGAACCAAGCTTGCATCGAAGGAGGCCAAATGCCCAATCAAAGCTTGTGAAACAAAGCTTGCTCGAAGGATTTTAGATGCCCAATCGAATCTTATGAATCAAGGCAAACTTGCTCTTCTATAATTTGTTGCCTGAAAGCCAAAAATCCAATTGTACTTTTGCAAACTTGTCCTTTTGAAAATTCTTGTGAGAA